GGTCTGCAGCTTTGAGAATAGACACAGAGGGGATAAGAAGAAAAATAGAATCAAGAAGTGGGGAGTTTTAATAGGGAGAATGCCAGAGTATGCTTGTTGGCTAAAAGGGTAGAAATTAAAGCAAACATAAAAGAGAAAAGGAATTGACTGAGGCCTTAGAGATGAAAAAGAATCTCTTTCCTATGTGTGTTGGGGGAGGAAGGTAAGTTGGAAGGGCCACTGGGGGTGTGTCTTTGATGGGAGTAGTGGGATCCTGATGCTTTCTCTCTCTTCCCTTCCAGGTCACCAAGAAGCAGCAGGTTTCCTTTACTATGTACCCCTTCTCATCAGGTACTTCCTCCCCACAGGCCCAGAGGCAACAGGGACAACTGGCATGGACTGAAACTTTGAGCCAAAATAAAGCTTTACTCCTTATAAGTTGATTTTTCTCAGGTGTTTTGTCACAGCAATAGAAAGCTAACACAGATATAAGTCCTAAAAAGAGGAAAATTAATTGTTCCTATATGTCACTCCTTTCCTTTATGAAGGAAAGACAAAATTCCCTGTCCAATTGGAGTTTGGGCTGAGAGGGGCTGGAGGATAGTGACAAGCATCCAGGGCTGGCCAGAAAGAGACCTGCCATGTGGCATGGGGTAGTTTGCACAAGGTTCACAGCCACAATTAGCAGTGGCAACGGGTAAATGATAGGATTATGTCCACAAGGAGCTTCCAAGATCAGCGGATGGGAAGTAGTGGTTTAGAGTTGGGGATGGGCATATAGATAACACCAGGAGACCACTGTGAAAAGGTAACTGAGTGTCAAGGACAGTGAGATAGAAATGACTCACAAGGGCTTCTAGGCCAGAGGCCAGGGGGTACCTTAAGGACCACAGTAAGTGAGTGGTTTCTTCAGGGAGATTGGGAAAGGTGAAGGAATGCTGTCACAGAGTAGAATTTTAAAGTTCCTATTTTCAGAACTGGCCTACAGCTGGGTCAAAGTTGGGTCCAGGCTGTGGCTGATGAAGTAAATTCTAAGATAAGCTTGGAAAAGATGACAGCTGTTGAGGCCAGGATGATGCAGGACAAGACCATGGCAGGGGAGATCAAACAGTGGAGGAGTAGATGATCCACCAGTCTTGTTAAGAACACAGAACAGTGACTTAGAGACAAGAATAGGGCTCTGAAGTCTCTTGTAGACAAGAGTAGGGCTCTGAAGGCATGAGCAAACTATTCAAGCCTCAAAAGCAGATTCTATGGAGAGAAGAAAAAGATTTACTTACTGACTCACTTTTAATTTTGATCTCTGTTCTCAAAGACCTACTAAGCATCTCCTCTGGTGTATGTGTATTTCTGGGTTTTGTTTGTTTGAAGTGCTGAGGATTGAACCCAAAGCCTCATGTACAGTAGGCAAGTTCTCCACCCCTGAGCTACACTCCAGATGTGGCATATTTGGGTCATCTGGGGTTCATCCTCTCCGAAATGAATGTATCTTCCACAACCTCTCTAACTTCTCCTTCTTCATTTTGATCTTAAAATTCTAGACAGTAGCATTATAATTCATTCAGTCAAACAAACAAAAATCACCCCTCCTTACTTCATATCCAGGCTGTTCCCTACCCCCAACTGCAAGGTCTCAATGTGTGAGCCAATAAAGGAGAGTAAGAAAGAAGCATGGCGCCAGCATGTGCCTGCGATCCTCGCACTTGAGAGTTAAGGTAAAGGATCAAACATTTCAAACCAAGATAGACAACTTAACAATATCCCCTCTCAAAATAAAAATTTTAAAAGGCTGAGTGGTAGAGTTCTTGCCTAGCATATGCAAAGCCCTGGGTTCACTCTACAGTACATTAAAAAAAAAGAGAGAGAGAGAGAAAATGCCTAAACATAATTTCTGGTACACAGTAATTGCCTCAAATGATTTGAAGGTCACTAACTTTAGAGTTCTTCTGATTTTGTACTGTCTGCAAGGTCTAGGATCCTATTTCTCAGTTTTTGTATTTATTATGGAAATTTAAAATTTTATGAAGACTTGGATTACTACAAATAATCAAGTCATTCTGATTGATTGAAATCAGGCTAGTAATATTCATTTTGAATGTGATTTTAATTGCATGTACTTTCATACATTTTAATTCATGTTACTTAGACAATAAACACCTACATAGTCAGTGATAGTTTAACCATCTTGTCATTTGCAAATGTTTATTAAGTCTCAATAATTAATTCTAATGAAATAAAATCACTAATTAAAAAATCATAGTATCATTAAATTCTAAAGAAAACATCCTTACCAACATGTGAACTGAACGTAATCACACTCAAAGCAGCTTACTCTGTTATAAAAAAAAGTTTTTAGAAGAGAAACTTGCAATAATTGGTCTTGAGAGTGGAGGCAAACAAACTACTGGATTGGTGCTTGGCCCCTGGGCTTTAATGACCTCCCCCACCCCACCTGTCACACCAACATTCACATTCTGTTCTTACTAATCCCTTCTTAAAGCTAAATTCAACTACTCCTTATCCAGGGCAAAGGTTCGGAGTGAGAGGGAAAATGAGGACATTACTAACCCTGACTAGAAAACTGCAACCGTCTTCCACTGCTGGGATCTGCTTGCTCTGCCATCATTCTCCACACCTCTTCCTGGTCTTCTCTATCTTCTACTATAACCATCAAACCTCAGTACTTCAATTTATGTATTTATCTGTGTGGTAGGAAAACATTGCACTGTGGTGTCAATGGGTAAATGGAAACAAGGCTTATGCATTTACTTTGCACAACTTCAATACTGTCTCCCATGAGAGTAAATGACAGTTGGGTTATGATTAAGTTTAGGTGAAATTTGATAGCACACATCTGGTGGAAGCCTCTCACTTTTACTTAGGGTTTTTTTTTCCAAGGAAGGGGGCTAGTCAGAAAAAAAAAGATTAAGAAGGAAATGACAATTGTCTGTCATCCCCAGCCAAACCTCCGTGCTCAGCCCAGATATGTATATAAGCCCCGTTCATCATAAATGACTCGGTAGCTACTACAGATGCCAGAAGCTTGCAATGTCCAGTACATTCCAGAAAACTCCTCATCTGTAAGGACCAATTAGGAAAAGTCATAAATAAAAAGCAAATGCTTCAAAAATATAACTCTTAAAGAGCATATGGATCTTAAATCATACAGGTGTGTCCAAAGTCAAAGGGACAAAATCTTCAGAAAAAAGAAAAGAAAAAAAAAGCCAGCTGAAAGGGAAAGAGAAAATACTTATTAGGTTGGGCAACCGCACTGTTTTTCCTATCAAACAGCGCTTCAGAATAGGAGGGACCGGGCCTGTCTATATGAACTCCCGATTATGGTGGTTCCAATAGCAGAGAAATGACATCGTGGCTCAGCTGCAAAGCCCTAGGCCCTTGTTTTCCCAGTGGCCTAAATCAATCCCCAGTCCAGGACAAGATGCAGAGCGAGATGCCTAATTATTTCAGGCCACTAGGGTAAGCACTATTCCTGGCAACTCTGCAGGCAGCACTATGGATGAGGGTTTCTAATTCTCTTTGGTGATTTGGCTCAGTGTAAACTGAGATTTTTCTTTTAGTCTTTCAGAGAGATAAGCAGGAAAGGCCAGCTCCAGTTCTGAGAGACAATCAAGGTCAATTTCAGTTCCTATTCTGTGCAGAAAAGACTACTTTTCCCTGGCTGTCTTCCTGACCTGTCCTTACATTTTATATGATTATCAACTACTTAGTTTGAGCCCTAGGTGTTCACCCAGTCCCACAGCAGCCTCTCAACCTAAGGAGTACCAGGAATGCCCCCTACAGGGTTGTTTCTTTGAAAGACCATCCAAGACCCCTGACTGTGAACTTGGGAGAAGATTCTCATCATGGGTACTGTAAAGATGAGGTTGGGACTAATGTCTCCTCTAACTGAAACTATCCTGTTACCAACTCTTGAATTCTTCACTGGCCTCTGCACTCAACAATCTCCCTAGTTATTACCTAAGGAAGGAAGGGAAAATCCTGTCATTTCCGTTTAGAAAATGGTGGGAAAGAGAATGAAAAGTTTAGGGGTGTCTAAAGTGAGTTCAGCAAGGTAGTGTTGTTGCTGGAAAGTGGATCAGCTGACATCTGTCCCTGGTTTAGTAGGTCACAGCTTCTAAGTTTAAAGCGCTTGACTTACCATAGTCCTCCTTGAAAACTTCTGTTTACTTTCTTAAACAGTGGGTACCAGTGGAGAGGTACCAGGTGTACATTCCAGGCACTCAAACAACATACACAGACTGAGCCTGTTGGGTACACAGCTCTAGGCTGAAGAATTTCTGAAGTTGTGAAGAACAGATGAGGCATTAGAGAGAGCAGGCTGGAATGTAAAAGCCCATGTCCTGCAAAGTCAGATACAAAACCTTATCTTCGTTATTACAAACCAAAAAATAAACCATATACTCCATGCTTTGTCAAATGGCATTGCTCTCCCCCAGGATCTTCATTAAAGAAATGCAAACACATGTGCTTTGAAATGGGTAGGTGTAAAAGAACATTCTGCACAATTATATCTAGGCTGCCGCAGATTTATCACATGCAGACATATATTTGGAGGATATTAATTCATGATGACAGCTGAGCATAGCAAGCAACAGCGCACACGTTGGAATGCTGGGGGGGGGGTGCAACTACAAACCCCATGCACACAAACACAACAGAGTTTTCTCTCATCACACACGTGGCCGCACTTACAGGAGCTTAAAATAATTGGGAAAAAATAAAAATGCAAAACACAGGAGGCTCCAGCGCCCGCAAGCTTGTCCCACACACAGGCAGCCGCGCCTTCATCCGCAGGCGTGACGATCGCGCGTCCCCGGGTACACTCGCACTCCCACCCGTATCCCGCTGCGCTCCACACGTGGGCCAGGCAGTCCACGCGCCCGCCCGCCGGTGGGGAAGCGGCGGCTCCGGGGCTGGGGGCAGGGCCCGGCGGGGCAGGGCCTCGGCGCCCGGGGAGGGGACGAGGGGCGGGCGCGGGGCGGTGCCCGGCTCACGTGGGCGGGCGGGAGCAGCTGAAGGTCCGCTTCGGAGCCCGTGCTGTCCTCTCGCGCGCGGCGCTGGCCCGGGCGGCGGCGGCGGAGGCGGACGAGGAGGAAGAGGAGGAGGAGGAGGAAGGCGGCGGTGGCGGCGGTGCAAGAGGAGGGGAGGACGGGGGCGGCGTCGGACTGGAGCCGAACGGCGGCGCGAGCTGCCCGGGGAGCAGTCGTGAGCTCGCCCTCCGGGCCCCCACCCCCGAGCTACACCCTGCAGTGCCCAGCTCTGCCCGCGTCCGTGCCCCTGCGGGGAGCGCGCCGGGGCTGCCCCCCGAATGACGGGCGGAAGGTTCGACTTCGACGATGGCGGCACCTACTGCGGCGGCTGGGAGGAGGGCAAGGCGCACGGGCATGGCATCTGCACGGGGCCCAAGGGCCAGGGCGAGTACTCGGGCTCCTGGTCGCACGGCTTCGAGGTGGTTGGAGGCTACACCTGGCCCAGCGGCAACACCTACCAGGGCTACTGGGCGCAGGGCAAGCGGCACGGGCTGGGGGTGGAGACGAAAGGCAAGTGGATGTACCGGGGGGAGTGGTCACATGGTTTCAAGGGGCGCTACGGGGTCCGGCAGAGCCTGTGCACCCCCGCCCGCTACGAGGGGACCTGGAGTAACGGGCTGCAGGACGGGTACGGCGTGGAGACCTACGGGGACGGAGGTGAGCTTCGTCGCGGGCGCCCCGGCGCGGTGGGCTCTGCCCGGGATGCGGGGACGTGGGGCGGACGCTAGGCGCACGTGTCCCGAAACCCGCCAAAACACCTGGGGAGCTCCCCCACCCCCCACCCTCACTGCGCCCGGGGGAGGTGCGTGGGGACGCGGTTGGGGAGCAGGGGTCTGTTCTGCCCCAGTTCCCGGAGCGGGCGCGGTGTCCACACCCGGGGGAGCGAGGCGTGCACACACCTGGCCGGCGCCAGCGCCGTGCTGCCACCGGAGGGCTGGGCTGCAGCGAGGGCGCTGTCACTTGAGCCCATCACATTACGTTCCTGATCCCTCCCTCTCCCGGCTGGGTTTGAAATCTCCACTCGGGTGAGGTTAGATGGACGCCCTGGGCTTGTGAGGCTGCCGGTCCGGGCGGACCGACAGCTCCGCGGTTTGGTTTCACGTGGAGTCTCGTATTTCGCTTCTGGTCCTCTAGTTGCCTAAAGATAGAAGCCAGAACCCCATAACTAGGATGTTGGGGCAACTGGACCTTAGTTAGGGTGCATTTTGATGCGTCCTAGTTATGGCAGTAAAGGGGGCCGCCTGAAGCAGGTGGAATTTCTAGTTTTATTCCTAATTTTCATTTGGCTCCTTAAAGTACTTCTTTGTAGTCTTTTCTGCCCTGGAAATCTTTGGGCAAGTTACTGGGATAACACTTTAGAAAAAAAACGATGGAGTTACTGCTAAAAAAAAAAAGTTAAAAAGCATGTTCCTATAACTCCTAGAATACTAGAGCCGAATCCCTAATATACATTAAATGGTGTGACTAAACCTGGATACAGTTTTTAAAAACCTCATCGTAACAATATTTGCCCAATTACTTGTGTTTATTATGGGACAAGATTTTTTTTTTCCCAGTACAAAAAAGATACGTTAGTGAAACAGGTGTCGAAACTTGATGAATTTGTTTGAAAGCAAAGCTGAGGAAGATGAATGGCTTGTGTTTTGGCAAAGAACTTTTTCTGATAATAAACATAATCATATTTAATTGAAAAGGGTCGTAGGAGGCGATGTCACCTTTTGGAGTTAAGCCGCTCAGAGTTGGAGGATATTAAAGGGATCCAATTAAAAGTTTCTCCAGCCCACTGAAACTCCAGTTATGCCATTGCTTATATAAAAGCTTATAGAATTTGTCCAGTTCACTTACTCGGAACACTTGGACCGTGTTGCAAATGCAAAACAGCAGAATGGGTAGGATTTGCTAAAAAGGGCATCTTTTCACCCTACAGTATAAATAAAGGCTATGGCTCTCATGGATTAAGAGAGGGGAGAGAAAAAAGTAGTAATACTTTCCTATGGGCCGAATCCTGAGTTCCACGGTAGTTAATAAGGGCCCTTAAATGTTGTGAATGGGCATAAAGTACCTTGGTTGACAGCCTTATGAATAAGTTAGTTTGTGGCTGGATTTTATTGGAGGTTCAACTGTTAAAATACTGGGTTCAAAAGTAGAATATTTGTTTTTGTTTTTTTTTTTTTAATGTGGTCATTTTATAGCCCTTTAAGTTGGCTGTGAATAGTATTCTCTATTCAAATTTGGATAATTAAAAATAGACTTCTTTTAAAACTTACTACTCATTAAACAAAATCTCTTGGTTTAGAGTAGTTAATATACCCAGTAAACAAAATATATATAGCACAGTAAAAGCCACTATGTGTCTGTTGTAGAAGCCCAGATACCTTTCCAGAATGACTTTATGAATAATCTGCCTTATGCTTTAAGCCTTCTTTCAAAAATTAAAAAGACAAAATCTGACATCATCATAGTAGTGTGGTTTTCTTTTTCTACTAAAAGACAAAACCCTAGTGTGCTATATTTAGGATATTTTTTTAAAACCCATAAATCACTTTTGAATGCCTTCTCTCTGCTAATCAATTTTCTGGTTTTTTTTTTTTTTTTTTCTCCATGTCACTACATTTCATTAGAAAGTCCATAATTTTAAAAATGGCCTAAGTGGGGGGTTTTAATTGAAATTATTGTTGCAATTTAATTCACATAAAAGTTTTTGTCCAAATAAGAATATCACCTTTCCTAGTTTTAAGAGTTAGCTTTTTTGCCTCTCTTCTCCACATCACGTCCTGTCCATTCCTGTACACCCTTTGTCCAATTTGAGACAGGATGTCATGTAGCCCAGGCTGGCCTCAAGCCAATGATGACCTTGAACTTCTAATCCTCCTGCCTCTACCTCTCCAGTGCCAAGATTCTATGTTGCTGGAACCCAGGGCTTCAGGTGTCCTAGGCAAGCACTTACTAGCTGAGGAATATCCTCAGCCTGACCTGTTGTTCTGTTAACTATGCACATAGCCATTACATAGCATCTACCTAAGTCTGACACAGAACACTCCAAATTTGACTAAAATTCATTCCGAACTGGATTACACAGTTAAAATGAATAGATCTTAACAAATCAGCTCCCAGATGAACACAACTAAAAACCTGTAAAAAATCACTTTTACATTTGTGAAATATGCATATTTTGGGACTCAAGAGTAGCAAATTACAACTTTTTTGAGCAAAAGAAGTCCGAGCCCACCTGCTTCATAAAATAGTGGGTCCTGTTTTGTAGGTTCATTGATTAAACTAAACCTGTTTGGAATTTCAGATCAACTACTTAGAGTTTGAGTAAATTTGTTTCTAGTGATGTGGTGGATGTCATGGCAGAATTCTTTCCCACACTGATTTAACAACACAGAAGGGGAATGTGGCTGATGCCAGTCTTCCCTGCCTCCTCCCAGTTTGATAGTTCTGAATATACTGAAACATTTTGATTATTGCTATTCTTTAAACAGCCTAAAATTTAAAGCAATACTTCTTGGAAATATTAAATACTGTTTTACTTTTGGAGATGTTATTTGGAGGAAACTAGCTATTTTTCATCAGTGTTAAACATTTACCAAGATGTTATAGTTGTAAAATACTTACTGATACCAAACAGCATCTATATAAAATAGTCTAGCAAAGTTGTTATATAGAAAAATTAGGATGATTATAGAATTTTAACAGAACAAAATAGTAAAAATAAAGTGATTTGTTTTAGTATGTATAAGGTTACATAATTTTTATCCTAAAAGTTAGATTTTTATCTAGGCAAAGGAAAAATCAAAGTTGAGATTTCCCAATTCATTTTCTGTTCCTATTAAGACAGCAGTGTTCGGAGATAGCTATTTTTCAGCAGGAAGCTCCTTATCCCTGAAAAAAAAAAAATACTTTTTTTTTTTTTTTCCTGAGACAGGGTCCAGCTATGTAGCCCAGACTGACCTAGAGCACATGATCCTCCTGCCTCAACTTTCCACGTGCTGGGATTGCAGGAGTGTACTACCACATCTAGCATCTGAAATGAAAGTTTGTTTGTTTGTTTGATATAGGGTCTTACTGTGTAACACTGGATGGCCTGGATTGCGTTATATAGATTTGGCCAACCTTGAACTTACAGAGATTGTCTGCCTCTACCTCCAGAGTGCTGGAATTAAAGGTGCACACAACCACTCCTGGCCTGAATTGTTTTTTTATATAGCTGTCTTACTTCAGAAGTTCATAGGTGTGAAGTCTTAACTCTACACACCTACTCAAAATATGGCATTCATAGTACCAGATCCATTTAGTATTTCACTGTTGCTCTCCTGTTGTTTATATGATGTAACTATGTCAGCATGAATAGAAAGAAAAAGAGGTCTTGAAATTGGTCCAAACTTTTAGGAATGATTACAGTTTAATTTTTTAATAATATAATCAGCTCCAGTTTACACAATAATATAAAACCACTAGCCTAGCCAGGCATAATGGTGTATGCTTGTAATCCCTGCAATTCAAGAGGCTAAGGTAGGAGGATTCAGAGTTCCAGGCCAGCCTGAGCTACATAGCAAGACACTAAGAAAATAACAACGAATACCCCAATAATATTATTGCCCAGTATGTTAAAAATAAATGTATCCCGATAATTGGAAATCTGTTCAAAGTAACATAAAATACAAAGTATAATCAGAAACAGAACAAGATCAAGACAGATGATAATCATGATTTATTTGCTGTGACATTGGGAATTGTTATGAATAACACAGAAGTAATTACATTTAAAATTTTCCAGATAGCTGCTTTGGGGGCATACAAGGATACAGAATTTGCCTTTAATTAAAGGAAATGGCCTTGACTTTGAAAATTCTAAGTTCCTTAATTTAGCCCTCATTTCCTCCAAAGAGTATTTAAAAACCTGTACCAGATTATTTTTCGAATTTATCTTTGCTTATTTAGTAGAAAAAGTTGCTGAAAAAAAATATTTTTAGGAATTATCCTGTTCCTAAAAGGCATAATATTCATTGAAAAACTGATCTGGCTCAACAAAATTTTAATGGATACTGTCAAGTACCCATTTATGGAATAAGAGAAAGTGTCCTCCATCTGATACCAGTTTTACAAGCTCTTTAAACATGGTCTTCAAACACCCAGAGACCATAGGACACATAAGCTATGAGTTGAGACATTCTGTGTTCCTTTGTGAATTAATTTCTGCCCTCAGGTACTTCCAGTGTGTGCTGAGATTATCAGTGCCATAGGAGAGGCTAGGGAAATGCATAAAGAGAATGGCCAGAAGAACAAGATTTAGCAAGTCATATGATACTATGTTCAAAAAAACCAATCCCAGGTACTCAGTAGCTTTCCCTTCCTAAGTGTATAGTGTTCTACCAACTAGAAAATCCAAGACAGTCTGTTTGACAATTCACATCCCAAGTATTCTGATCACTGTTACTAATTTTAAACCTTTGTATTTGTTAGAATGATATACTGGCATAGACCTAAAAATCATTTTTAGTTATTTTTCAGCT